ACTATAAAGCACATTGTTTATACAAACAGTTTAGCCAAAGAGAGGTGCATGAGGGAGGTGAGAATCTTCCAAAGATCTGAATTTCAAAATGCTAGCCAAGGACCAGATTTGTAAGCAGGCCTTTCAAAGAATAGCAACTAGACCTGCTATATTAATGCTTTCCTCCATGGATGTCTATAGTCTGGCATAGTTGAATATGTAATCATTTCCATATGTTTAAGACTAGTCTTCTTAGCTGCTCACTGCATGGCTTAAAAAGCAGCAGAGTTGTTAACTGAGTAAAATAAGTGGAGAAATCCAAGCTATGCTACTATATTGATCAGGAGTGGCAAGGCTTGCTGAGGTAACAAATGTCACCAAAACCCAGTGATTCAAAATTGCAAAATATATTTCTCATGTTCACCATTCATCCTTTGTGGGTTGGCTAGGGCTCTGTTTTGTCCTTAGTCCAAAACCAGGCCTGAAGCAGCTACCACCTGGTTCACTATCCGTCACTTAGCAGAAGAGAAAGAGGAGATGGTGAAGCAGATGCAGCTCACTACAGTCAACGACATGGGATTCCAGAGACATAACCATTACACCATCTACTTGTCCCTGCACTAACATTTTTATTCATTGTCCTATTTATGTTACATCTGCACCAGCCCCATTATTTGGATTTTCCCTATATTCTGGGCTCTAGTTTTTAGTAATTTTCTGTTGTTTATCTGTTTGTGATTTTTCTTTGGCCAAGAATTTCAGTATGAAAGATCTGGTTGTTCATTGTATGAGTTTGATTTTCTCAGTTTCTTCACTTAGGTTCTATTACTGCCTTCATTCTCAAGACCACAATTCCAGACCAACTGTAGTAGAGCAGCAGTAATACAGTGCTCAGCAATGCTGCGGTCTCCCATACACACTGGGTGCACATGCGAATGCCCACTATCCTGGCTGACTAAAATGGGGTGAATTACAGCAAGACCCAGTTGTGGATTTTTCTCTCTTGCTCTCTCTGACTCTCTCTCTCATGTGAGAAATAGACAAATAGACCTTAAAAAAATGATCATATTCCAGTTGCCATTCATGATGCCTTCCTGTTTTGATAGCCCACAGCTTTGTTTTGGTGGATGCATTGGGTTTCTATTGAAGAATCTCCCTCTGTCCCCTGCTGGCAATCAATTTGGACTATATCAGAGTTGTTTGCTGGGAATCAGAATATTGCTATCCTATTTAAATGAAAAAAAAAATCTGACTTAAAATCATTGTTTTTATGCACCTGAAAAGAATCAAAGTTGTAATATGTTCATTATTTTCTTTATATTTGTTCATGTAGGAGTTGGTAATAATTTCTCCCCTTAGTGTGCAAAGTGTTGGCATCTTGTAGTGGAGATGCTAAGACCCCCTAGGAGTACATATGCAGCATGGTAGTGTGGGACAAGCTGGCTTCCTGGAGCACTGAAAGAAGCTTCCGTTTGCCTGACCCCTAAACAAGGTCCTCCAATCAGATTTTTAGTATAGAGCTCACATGCTCTTTACATTTATAATTTTGGGCTCCCATTTGAGTTATGTTCAAAATGAATTTATAGCCATTATTCTTTCTTCCACCATCTTTTGTATCATGGAGATTTCTTCATGTCAACCTGGGAAGTTCAATCTGTTTCTTAGAGCCATGCTTTATACCCCATTACCCAGTGCATATTTCTTAGTCAATTGCAGTCTTCAGACTGGATGGCTGTCTATCCTTACTTCTTTTTTTAACCTTTTAATTATTAAAATAGAATAACAGGGCCCAGATGATAGCACAGTGAGTAAAACAATGATCTGTGAGGCTGACCCATCTGGAAAGGTTCCAGATTTATTCCTACAGACTTTATCCTAAACATGCTGAGCAAGCTCATGTCTTTGATCCAGGGCCAGGTGAGGCTGGGGGTGGATCCTGGCATTAGGACCCTGGTGGGGATGTTGCATCTCTGTTTCTGTTTCTGTTTCTGTCTCTCTCACACATGGAAGACATACGTACATTAAAAGAACCCAAACAACCTTTTAAAAGAAGAGGAAAAAGACCAAGAACAGGGGCAATTAAGTGGATACCCACATCTCTCCGTCGACTTTGCCTTGTGTAAGCTTCACCATATTGCCTCTCCTACTGGCTTCCAGTTAAACTAGCTGGCTCTCTGGCATCCTGTCACAGTGCTTTCTTTTTTATTTTAATAATAGATAAAATTTGATTTAAAAATTTTGCAGAATAGTGGTAGGTATTTTGGAAAAGGAATGCCTGTATTTTGATGAATTCTACCCATTTTCCCCATGACAATCCTTGACTCTATTTAACAGATAAAAAAATTATCTCCTGAAGTCAGATAAATACACCTATGTTCGGGTTATTACTTAAGTGTTGCATGTGTAAAAATAGTTTTTTTTATCTCAGTGGGGCTTTTTGAAACTTAACCTGAAAGTTACACAGGTGAGAAGAATGAGGGAATCCAACAGGAGAGAATCCAATGAAGACTTTGGAAAGTTCTCTGGTAGCCTGAGTTGTTCCCAACTTGAGAGAGAGTTACAGGACTAGAATGGGCAATGGCAGTTGGCAGTTTTGCCTTTGTGGGGTTATCCATTTCCTGGTCCTGTGAATTAAACAGAAGACCATGTGTTCATATGACAAAAGCTAAAAAGTCTCAATGACTTTCTGGGCCCTAGTTTTGTAATTAATGACTCTTTTATTGTTTGCTTTTATTTATTTATTGTTTTCCTCTTCCAAATGTGTCCATCTATGTCTTGGAAAAAAAAAAAAAAAAACAGAGAGAAGATAGAGAGGCAGACAGATACAGGGACTCCCTACAGAGTCTTGTCATACTGCAATTTTTCTCCCTGCCTTCCAGCCAGCCAGGATTGTGGGTGTGCCTAATGTGTCAGGTCAACCCAGGATTGAACCCTGGGCCCCTCACAGCACCAGCATTGCACAGTGGCACCCCACCGCCTGCACCACCACTGCTAGGCCTGCTTTTGTAAACCACTGTCTCCTCTGCCATCCACATTATGACAGGTATTATGGGATTATCTTTCTCCCAGAGCTGAAGTTATTGCAGATTTTCACAGTGCATTTCTTCCTGTTGCCTTTCTAGAAAAATCTATCGATACTTTTTTTTTTTTTTCTGTAGGAAAGTAGATTTCGATTGTGACATTTGATTATTCAGTTAGGAAAGAATTTTGCATGAGGCTATATAAGGACAGAGGTGACCAGGCTTGTACCCATAGGATTGTGATCATCCAAGGTCAAACCACTTAGAACATCTGGACCTTGCTCTGCTTTCTTTTCTGAGTAATGTAGCAAAGTTCAAAATGAATCAGTTGATGGACTTTGAGCTCTGGAATCCTGGGCAAGTATAAATAATCTTAGGGTCAGAAACTAATAGAGTGTGAAATAAGTTAATCCATTTCAGTATGAAATGGGATTTGTAAAGTGAGTTGCTACTTAGTTTGCAGAATTTTATTAAATTAAAGCAGGGTTCAAGTTGCAGTATTATGGATGGGCATACAGTATACAACAGTACAGTTGTCACATACCCTAGGACCCAGAGTGGATGAAAAAAGTCTAGGGGACCCTGAGGAGATTCCCTAATCTTTCTGTTTTGCACTATGAAGGAGAGTGTGGAAAAGGCAAAATTATGACATTTACTAAGGACCAAGGTAAAACAACGATTTCCTTTCATTTGAGTTGATAGGTAAGTAGCAGCAAGATAGATGTGCCTAGTACTATTTATTTTTAAAAGTAGCGACCTTTTGTGAGCGATATAAAAATACCTTTTTCTGCTTCATAAACGAGTCTGAACAAGGGAAAAACATTTGCTCCAAATTACATCCCAAAACATTAAACACACCTAGTTCACAGCAGGCACTTCCTGTTGTTTGCTAAACATTCAGAAGGTGTGAGCCCTGCCATTCTGTCTTTGTGTTTTGTAGGGTTTTCACTTTCTTCTGTGGAAGAAGATGGTGTTCGAAGGCTCTATGTAAATAGTGTGAAGGAGACTGGATTAGCGTCCAAGAAGGGTAAGTCAATGTTTGGTGGGTCTCTTAAATTTCCCTTTTAGATTTCTCTAGTTGATGAAGGGGAAAGAAATGCCCAGAGGGTTGATGTATAAAGAGTATTCAAATATTCTCTCCTTGAAAATCCTTTTAGGGAATATGGATTTTCTTCATTAACTCGGGTGTGCAAGCAATGTCATGTTCTTAACACTTCAGATTTGATTCTGATCCCATTTCCATGAAGCTGGAGAGAAGTTTTATTCTAGTCATAAGTGGTTGCCCTCCTCCATCTTCTATGAGGGTGTACAGTTCAGGGGTAGAGGATGGTATCCTGGAGTAGAAGATGTTTGAAAACCCCTCAAAGCTAACATTGGCCATTGTCTGATCCTGCAAAGCTCCTTCAAGGCTGATGTCCCCTGGCTTCCATTCCTGAGGAATCCGCGCACACCGAGACCCAAGGGATTCAAGATCCGGTCTTGTTTTCCCTACTTCCTGCTACCCCCTGCCTGTTTCTACCCTCGGATGACTCAGAATGCATTTGGCCTCCTTGGGGAATTCCAACTCTCCATCCTCTTTCTACTCTCAGAGAGTCTTGTCAACCTAGATTATCTGCTCACTGTGCTAGTTTCCTAAGGCTACCCTACAGATTACCACAAACTGGGTGGCTTAAAACGATAGAAATTTATCCTCACAGTTCCAAAAGCTGAAAGTCTGAAAGCAAGGTACTGGTAGGATTGATTTCTTCTGGAACCTCTGAGGGAAGAATTATTTCCTGATTCTTCTTAACTTTGGTGGTTGTGGGCAATCTTTGGCATTTCTTAGTTTGTAGCTTATCACTCCCAATTTCCACCTCTCCAGTCACGTGGCCTTTCTTGTGTGTCTTTCTGTGTTTTTACAAGGCCGTCTTGTAAACATCAGTGATTGGACTTAGGACTCACCTAAAATAACTGTGAGTTTATCTTAATTATATTACAGACCGTATTTCCACAGAAGGTCACATCCTGATGTTCTAAGTGAACATGAATTTTTAGGAGACACTGTTTAACCCACTGTACTCACCATAAGCAAATGAGAAAGCCTTGAAATCTGCCTTTCTTTCTTGTTGCTGTGAGACTTTTAGTTTCATCTAGACAGTGGCAAAATAATACATGTCAGTTGTTGAAGACCGACCCCCTCAGCCAGTTGTGCTTAGATATAAGTCACCTTGTGTCCGTTCTGTTAAGGACTCTTGCATGGAGCATCTAGGGCAGGGATGGGAGGTCATTTGTTTCTATCTCCTCCTTCTGGTGGTTCATGGCTAGAAAGCTACCTGTGCAGGTTGTTTCACCCTGCGCTGTATACACTAAAGCACGACCTACACACTTCGCTTTGCACAGGAATGGCCGAGCGTGACAGTGGCAAATAAAGTCAGAATGACTTCTGAGCTGCTAGCTGTCACAGAGGAGGAGCTTTCTTCTTTTTCTTTCCGTGTTTTCTAGGCCAGAGGCAGCCTGGAGGCCAGAGTGGGACACATTCACTGAACTGTATCTTGGCCAAGAACAGAGATGACAAGAGTTTATTCCCCTTCAGACCTAAAGACTGATTTTTATCTCTTTGAGCACAATGAGAGTGCTGGTTGGTGTGGCACTGGGGGTGGGAGATCTGCCGCCCTGGTTTCAGTCACATCCTGTCTTAGTTCTTTGAATCAGAGATCCCTGGTGTTAGATAAAAACAAACGGTCGTCTTCTCAACCCACTTGCCCCGTGCAGCACTTGGCTCTGCAGTTGCAAGCCTGAGGTCCATTTTGTCCTGGGCTGCAGGTCCTAGCCCTTCTACGTACATGGCATGTAGAAGGCAGTGTCAGCAAAGATATTCGGGTCATTATATGTTAAGTTTAGCTTTTAATTACAGGTGCCTCCCTACCCCTTATCCCCACCCCCCACTACCAGTAACGAAGAGCTGACTATGTTCACACAGCCTCTTTGTGAATTATATTTGGTGATAAATATTCTCTCCCCTCAGCTTTTGTTCAATTTCTCTTTATAGCCTGTCTTTGGTAGCAGTCATTTTATATCTGCTAAGTCTTTTTCTTTTTCCACATTCATCACTTCCACATCTTTCAATAGACATTAGTTCTCCCTAGAGTGTAGAATGAAACTCTGGTCATTGCCCCTGGGCACAAGGTTCCAGTGTCTCTGTTAAAATAAGCAGAATGTGGTACCCTCAGGGAGAGTCCAGTGAGACTGGCCTAATTGGATCTGAATATTCTGTTTGCATTAATTCAACGCAAATTCAGTTTTGTATTTTGTTAGCCATGTTTATCTTTTGACTTGTAACGATCTGGTAGATGAATTCCCAGCTCTGCTGCTCCTACCCACTGCTTTGCACATGTAGACTGACTTTTTTCAAACAAGGCACAGGCACAGGTTCTAGGACGTGGCTGTATCTTTGGAAGCCTCTATTCAACCTTCTACACATTACTCATCTGCCAGTCATACTAAACTTGTCACTTCTTTGAAAAAAGAAAAAAAACTTCTAATTTTTTAAAAGAATTATTTTTTATTTAACTTTATTTATTTTAATTTGTCAGAGAGGGACAGAATGAGAGAAAGAGGGCGACAGAGAGAGAGAAAGTGAGAAAACAAGCCACCACATCTGGGACTCAAACTGCAATCAGCCATATTGGAATCCAGCTACCAAAAACCCAGTTTTTGGGTTTTAGGTCTGCTTATCCTACCTTTTCTAGTGTTGAGTTAAAGCAGGTGATTCCAAAAGAATATTTTAGAGAAAAAGAAGCAAAAACCACTGCTTTCTGCATGTAGAAATTTTGATTTTCCATTCCAATACTGTAATGCCGAAATGTTTTACCTATAAAATAGCTTTCCAGAATTTTGCATCTGATGTGAGGGAAGTCATTTTCATTTCTCTTCCATTTCCTTCCCACCCGTAATGTTTCTTGGAGTATTGTATCATAGAAAATCCATTTTAAATATTTTGGAAACCCAGGAACTATTGCTAGGGAGTGTGGTTCAGCGAAGTTGGGAAGTGAGAATTTCCTTCTCAGTAGGTCCTTTTTCTGCAGAGCCAGGGTGGGATCTGTGGCTGCCAGAGGGGCTGAGTGGCTTCTCATTTCTGCAATTTGTCATTTGTCTCTGCTCCTCATTCACTTCCTTTTTCCAGTTTGTTTTTCTACATTAGTGTAGAATATTAGAAATTGAACTGTTTCCTCCTTCTTTGCTGAAAGGAGACTTAATTTCCTTTCATGTCCTTCCCTAACTTCTCCTTTCCCAAACTGCTGGAATGTTCATTCAGTGCTGATTTGAACTTGCCTCAGGTCAGTCACAACTTTTCGTTCTTCTGGGGTTGGGCTTGTTCATGACTGTTCCTTTGGGCTCCAAACTCTGGCACCTCTTCAGCATGCTTTGTAAAACTGTCAGACCCCTCAGAGATTGACCAAAAGCTCTTTACTCTGTGATCCTAATGCAGTTTATTTAAAAAAAATAAAATAAAACTTTAAATGGACAAAAATGATCTCATTTGGTTCTGTAAAGTGGTCTTTCACTGTGTTTGTAGTAAGGTACCTGTACTTCTGTAGTCGTAGCCAGAGGGCGCTCACTGCACCTTGGTTCCATAGAAACGATCAATGGACGTTAGCTGGCTGTGCCACTGTCCATGGAGCACGTGCCCGCGTAAAACATTCTGCTCGCGGTCATCAGGGAGGGTTTCCATTTGTTCCCCCTTAAAATTGTAGAAAGATAGCATTTTGCATTTGTGAAGAGATATGGGCCTATGTTTAGAACACATAGATTCAAGGCGTCTATTGGCTTCCTTGGTGTCTTTAGTACAGGGTAGGCATCTGTAACTCCCAAGTCTAGAGCCTTCTGAGACCAAGGCCTGGGTGATCGCTGATGAGCACTGCAGCCTGTTTACAGTAGCACCTGGGGCAGTGAGTCCCATGGCAGGAGAGCTTGGTGTGCCCTTTACAGCGAAGTTTCTCAGCCGTGGTGTTCTGATGGTGTGTGTGAAATTAAAAACTTTCCGTCTTGCGTTGGCAGGCCTGAAAGCAGGAGATGAGATTCTTGAGATCAATAACCGTGCTGCTGGCACCCTGAGCTCATCTATGCTCAAAGATTTCCTCTCTCAGCCCTCCCTGGGCCTCCTGGTGAGGACCTACCCTGAGCCGGAGGGAGGAGTGGAGCTGCTGGAGAGCCCCCCGCACCGAGTGGACGGCCCTGCGGACCTCGGCGAGAGCCCCCTTGCCTTTCTCACCAGCAGCGCAGGTATGTCTTGTGTGGTGCTGGGGACATGTAGGAGCTCACGTTACCCGTGGCCTGGCAGTGGCCCCGTGGCCTGTGCCTTGGGTGGCACGTGGTATTACACAAATGTATGAGTGAGGTGGGCTGATTCTGGAGCCTGTGCTGCCTGGACACATTTCGCAGGGGCGGGGGACTTTTTGTCTCATGACATGACTGTTTTGCTAGAAACCAACCTCTCGCCCATGGAAAGCTTTATGGTGCTTCTGCTCTTTGTCATTCTGGAGAAAGGCAAATAGTTCAAGGGCACCGTCTCTCGACTTTGGATAGAGGTTTGGATTATGGGAGTGCTGGAATCACTGAGATGCTGGAACTCTGCTTTCTATCCCTCCTTCCCTGTCACCATGTCCCACACCGCCCTGCTCTGCTTCCTCTGCTGTGTAAGAGGACATGAGCTGGGTGCCGGCGTAGACATGGGCTCATCGCTCTCGTCTCATCTGTTTGTCTCTTGGGCTTTTCCAGCCTGGAGTCTGAACGTGATCCCGTCAGTGGAACCCCTTGCCCTGCCCATCTGCTTTGCCTTCCATTCCCTGTCCCTCTGGCAGCCTTGTGCTCGTTCTAGTAGAAGCAGATTGGGTGCTACCCGCCTTCAAAATCTCCCTGGGACCCCATGCAATTAGTTCCCTCCTCGGCATCCATGATCTGCAGACACGTCTTTCGTGCGCTCCCTAATCACACTGTAATCTTACCAGCTTTGTGTCTCTCCGAGTTTGGTTTATGGGACTGGTTCTTGTTCTTTACCTGTGTTTCTCTGTCTCTTTGCATGTGATTAGTTCACAGTACAGGCAACCTGTCCTTTTTCATTTTAACTTTATTCATTTCTTTCTTTCTGAGACAGTCAGAGACCGAAAGACCAGGAGATAGCATCCCCAACAGGGTCCTCACACTGTGACTCCACCCAGCTCTAGCCAGGACCCGATCACAGGCACATGTGTGTGTGTGGTGTACTCAGGGTGACCTCTGGACATAATCCAGAGCCCTCCGGTGCTGGTCAGCCTTGCAGAGCTCTGCACTGCCCTCTGGCCCCACACAACCCACTCTTGTTCAGCGAGAGTGAGCAAACAAGAACAGCACAAGTTGCTGTTAACTTCTCTATGACTAGATTCTAGAGTTTGGGTTAATTTCCTAAATTGAGGTTTTGGAATTACCTTCTCTTTTCAATGCTTGAGGTTAAAAACAAAAAAAACCTCTCTGGTGTCAAGATCTGAGATGTAAGTAATGAGTGTTCTTTCTCTGCCATTGTTTTTCACATTGCCTTCTGAAGCTCGGCTTGCTAAGAAAGCAGAAGCACAGCGATGCTTCAGTGACTGCCTAGAAGAACTGGGCAAGTGCAAGCTCCAGAAAACTGGCTGTACTTAAGTTATGTTGACCTCCTTGGCTCCTTACATCCCTGTCCCATGTGCCAGTCAGTTAGATATTGCTCCCCCAGGCTCAATTTCTGGGCCACCCTGAAAGGTAGGTGCAATGATGCACACCTGAAGTCCCAGTAGTCAGAGGCTTGAGGCAATTGGATCTAGACAAAGTGGGACCTCCTCCTAAAGACCGCAGGGAGAAATTGGCTGCTTTGAGTTCTGTACCTTTAATAAAAGGGAACCGCCACGAAGGCTATTCTTCGATGTGACCACAAGATGGCAGGCTTGATCCCATAAAAACTCAGTCCCAGCTAGTAGTTGTTTCTGTAATAGGCCTTTGAATGCGACCTATTATGTTAAATTAGATTATTTAAAGGACTTTATAAATTTAGGCATACATGTGACAAGCAATAATGTGTGCCTAACTCTTTCTGGATTTTTTTTCTGTCAGAGCCCTTCTTATAAGTTATAGATAGAAAAGTAGGTGTTACAAACTATAACCCTCAGCCCCAAACTAGTCTACCACCTTTTTTTTTGGTTGTTGTTAATACGATTTTTTGCCATAGGGAATAAGTGTTTTCTGGAGAGAGAGTGACAGAGACAGAGAGAGGGAAATTGAGAAATTGACACCACCCCACCCCCGGGAATGACCATGCCTCGATCCCTTTTCCACACATGCCTGGCATGATTTTCAAACCACTGGGTCCAGAATTTGAGCCATGGTCGGCCATGTGGGAGTCCCGTGCCTTAGCCTCTACATTACCTGCTGAGTTCTCACTGCCTGTTTTTGTAGATAAAGTTTTAATTGAACACAGTCACACCCATTCATTTATGTCTGTGTCTGGCTCTTTTCCCATTGCAATGGCAGAGTTGAGTAGTTGTGACAGGGACTATAGTCTACAAAGCCAAAATATTTGCTTAGGCCCTTTACAGAGAAAGATATCTGTCCCCAGTGTAAAGTATGACTGAAGTTGCTGATGGTTTGTTCTTTTAAGGATAATCGCTGTTAATGTTTTGGTCTATTTCTTTATTTCTTTTTATTTTGTACTCATTTATTTCTTCTGAGAGGCAAGAGGGAGAGAGACAGGTATCCCCAACAAGGTTCCCATAGCATGATCTGCTCCCAGTTTCATCTGGCCTGGATGACAAGCACACACATGCCTGGGGTACCCAGGGAGCTTCTGGGATGAGAACCCAGGACCTTTCCCATGTGGGTCCAGTCACATGATGCTGTGCTACCACCTGGCTCAGTGTTGGTCTCTTTCTTCTTTTCAAGAAAGTTCTCTGTGTGCGTTTTTTTAAATTTGAAAGATCCATGTGTATAAATGTATTTGCCTTAGAAGTATCTGAAAATACTCCATGTATACAGTGTCTATCCTGTCTTTTTTTTAGAGAGATTTTTGCTATAGGGTATATGTGGTTGCCAGAGAAAAAGAGACACAGAGAGACAGAAAGTGAGAAATCATCCCCCAAGGGGGATGGCCATGCCACAATCCCTTCTTCTCCATTTTCCTCTCGGGATTTTGAGCACGTACGCACACATGCACCCTACGTGAGTTTTAAGCCTCTGGGTTCGAGACTTGAACCGCGGTAGACTACATGGGAATCCAGCAACATAACCATTATGCCATCTATTGGTCCTGTTATCCTGTCTTTTATGGGATGGAGTTTTAGACTAAACTGACCTTCATATCCTATGGTGTGTTATCTACTTCAGACTAGTTATCTTTGAAGCTATGCTCTAAGTCCACTGAAACCTGCCATTGTTTATGGCCCATGAAAACCTAAGTTTTGGAATTGTCTTTAGAAGCGTGTGTTTTTTCTCAGCTACATGGTCAGAACCTGGAACTGCCACATGTTCAGCATTTACTCTGTGTAAGACGTTAACTCCGTGCTAGTGGTTGACCATGGCTGTGACACAGTGCTGCTCTCCAGTTGACAGTTGGTAAGTTTTGGGATTGTCTTTAGAAGCGTGTTTTCCTCAGCTACATGGTCAGACCTGGAACTGCCACATGTTCAGCATTTACTCTGTGTAAGACGTTAACTCCGTGCTAGTGGTTGACCATGGCTGTGACACAGTGCTGCTCTCCAGTTGACAGTTGGTGTGCTTTGTTGCTTTTTAATGGCCTCATCTTTTCATATTTTGCAATAGTCAGAAATCTTTCAGAGCAAAGTCTGTTTAGCCCAGTGAAATAATCAAACTGACTCAAGAATAAAACTTGAAAGTAGAATCATATTTCTGATTCTTTCCCCTAGGACTTCTAAGTTGGCTACAAAATTTGTGAATTTCAGAAAGGGTCTGGATTGGTCTGGGCTGGTATGGTGAGAGGGTGGGTGGAGGGGGGAAGGCACAGGCTCCCTGTGGGGTCTCTGCCTGTCTGTGTTCTGGCTGCTTCCACTTCCCAGTGCCCATTTAACAGTGAAAGATAAAAGGGGAAGCAAGTAAACAGGATAAAATACCAGCAAGTTTGCTCCATAATGAGGGAGAGATAAAGCAGTTTCCGCAGACAGTTGCAATTAAAATAAAAGAGAAAATGACTAAGAAAATGTGTACAATAGGCAGGCTGGAGGGGCCCTTAGTCTAAATTTAGAAGTAACTAAAAATAAGAAATATCCTGAGTGGCATGTTTGAGGTATGATGCATGGACCTTGTTTTATTTTATTTTATTGTATTTTTTCTTTAATTGCCAGAGGGTGCATGTGCTTACCAGAGAGAGACAGAGAGAGGGTGAGGGAGAAAGCATCCCCCAATGGGGCACGGTCATGCCACAATCCTTCCCCTCTATCTCTTTATTCTTTTGGGATGTGGGGTACACATGCAAACTCACCTGGTGTGTTTTTCAAGTCACTGTGGCCAGGATTCAAGCTACAGTCAGCCTAACTTTAACCATTAGACTACAAGGCTGGCCCTTCATGCTGGGACCATCTGAAGACCATCATGGTACTGTTTTGCAGCCTTGACAGGGGGCCCTGCACGGTCTCAGGGCCCCTGGGTACCTGGGACCACTGGCTGGTGCTTGTGGCTACGTTTCTGCTGTGTCACAAGCCCAAGTGTGCAAACTTGGCCAAGTACTCTCACAAGAACCCTGATTGTGATTTACTCTCACGGTTGGCTTATTCTTGAGTCTCTTGCTCATATAGAGATTTATTTCTTCCATTCATAGAATTAATAGCCTAGGGGCCAGCAGGTGGCATGGTGGTTAAAGGTGCTGGGCTTCCCACATTGCCGACTGTGGTTCAAATCCCAGACCTGGTGGCTTGCTTTCTCAATTTCTCTTTCTTATTTTTTATTCTCTTTCTCTCTCTCCCTCTGGTCAGCCTTATAGCAATTTTACAAAGTAATTGGGGCTGGCAGGTGGCAAAGTGGTTAAGGGTGCTGGATTCCCACATGGCCAACCATAATTCAAATCCTGGACCTGGTGGCTTCCTTTCTCTCTCTCTCTCTCTCTCTCTCCCTCTGTCCCTCTCTGGTCAAATTCAAATAAATAAATAAAGTTAAATAAAATAATTTTTAAAAATTAAAAAAATAATAATAATAAGTAAAATTAAAGATTTTTTTTTTCTTTTTAAAGAATAGCCTAACGGCTAAGAGTAGCTTCTGGTACCAGCTTCCTT